AAAGTAAACAGGACTTTAAAAAAAAGACAGAAAAAATGGTTTTATCGGCAAAATCAATTAATTTTATTCCAAAAAGTCTCCTTCTGCTTTAATACAGCTTTTTGCACGGTCTAAAAGCATGTCGAACGAGTGTTTCAGCTCGTTGCCCGGTATGGCCGCTAGTATGCCGGTGCAAGCCTTTTGAATGGCCTCCCCGTTTGCATAACGCTTTCCTTTCATCGGCAAATGCATTTTTCCGAAAAGGTAGAAGTCGCACGGTGCCATATCAGGTGAATACGAGGAGTGGTTGATTGTTAAAATGTGATTTTTGGTCAAATAATCGGCCACAAGCGTCGATCGATGAGACGGCGCATTATCGTGCAACAAGCGCCAACTTCCACGAATATCGCGAGATTCGGGCCGAACACGTCGAATACGGCGCACCAAACGCTTTAAAACTCCAAGCTAAAATACCGCATTGATATTTTGGCCGGGTGGACCAAATTCTTTGTGGACAATACCCTTGGTATCATAAAAACAAATCAGCATTGTCTTTACTTTTGATTTCTCCAAGCGCGATTTTTTTGGTTTCGGCTCATTTCACACTCGTGCACTCTGATACGGGATAGGCAATCATCGCCATAAACTTGTTTCATCAATTGAAACGTTTCGGTAAAAGTTTTACCAATTTTAAAACAAAATGTAATGTTGGCTCTTTGTTCGAAGCTCATTTTCGCACCGATGACAAAAACATACTGTCACTTAAAACGCAATAACTTCACTTCCAATAGATGAAATGTCATGAAATTTTTACTGGAAGTCGATAAAGGATAGCAAATTCTAACGCACTAGTCGACATATAGATGGCGCCACTAGAGTTTACTTTGTTACTTTTTTACTGTTTACTTTGGAACGCACCTTGTATAATATGTATTTAAATATATGTTAAATTCAAGATCTTATTCTAACTAAAATTTCTGATTTAAAAATACTTTTTAAACTAATATTTCACCTTTAAGGTGGGCAGTTCTCACCGATGTGACTTTTGGTTCATTAGCGCTAGTTAACACCTTAACTTTCATATCTCAATTCAATGTTGTCTGCTCAATCAGTGTTCGAAATTTACCAGCTAAGCGTATTTCGTCGATTCAACATTTTGTATGTTGTTCCATGCTATTCTTTTTTGAAAAATCCAAAAACTATTTTTAAACCCAAGTAGTTTTCTTGCCTTTGACGCTGCATTCACTTCAAACTTAATTAATTGCACGCGTTTTGCACCTATTCTATGGTGAGCGAGTGAATGAGCTTGATGGTGAACGGCTGACGCGACACAAACTCCGAACTCGCAGTGCGTTGCGCTTGCTTGCATTTGAGCGTCTACGATTTTTGACATATTCTCTGGCTTTCACTACATTTTCTGTCTATTACACGTTTTCCATTCTTGCTCAGCGCTTTCACTGACTAATAAATTTTGTTAGAGGTATAATATGGGTGGCTCTACATCAGTCCTGTATAAGTAGATGCTTTCTCCTGCTTTCACGTGTTTATTCTCCTTCGCCTTCATGCTGTTGGCTTCCAGGATTTGTGTGTGGAGAATTTTCCTTGCAATTAATGTGAGCAAATATATCTGCCGTCTAAAGCACAAAAGTGCCGATTCATCAATAACAATAGAATATTTGGTTTACTTGCAACGCTCCACCTGTATGAAAGTGTGTGTGTATGTATTTCTTTCTGAGAGGAAACATTTATTGGTTGATTTGAGGTTCTTGTTGGTTGCATGTGTCGTCGCTAAGGCATCCTATGAGATTTGAGTATTTGACTGATTTCTTTGTCCTAATTTGGTGCTTAAAAACCAAGAGAATTAAAGTTGAAAATCAAATACGAAGGCACTTAAAATAGAGTTTTACAATACCTAACATAGATTTACAATTTATAAACGTTTAAAGGAAATGCTGCTTGCACTGATACTTATTATCAAGTGCAGTGAAATGATTATATATTAAGATCCACAATTCCAAAATTGAAAATTAAGGATGCTTGAAACTTTTCTAGTGTCCTACGTTTAACCATAGAACTTCGTAGTATTGTACTCATAAAATCGTATTAGGTTTGTTATAGAATCACCTATTCTGATTTTAAACATTAATTTTATTTTGCAGGCTATAACCATTTGCGAATTCCAAAAATTTATTTTTTATTTATATTATTTCAAATTTATATGATTACTATGTACTATTTAAAAACACTCTTCGATAATTTGAAGTTGATCCAGCAAATATTTGCGCAGATATGAATGTATTTCTATGCACTTTTTAGTCTTGCACTATTTTTCTACAGAGTATAATATAATACATAGTTTTGTTCACCTAACGGTTGTTTGTAGCAGCTGAAACTAATAGAGATATATATAGGTATATATACATTAATGATCAGGATGAGAAGACGAGGGACTGTCTGGCCGTCCGTTCGAGCAGTTGATAACCAAATTCTCTGAGAGCATAGCTTTTGGCCTACAACCACTCATACTTCCCATATAACGCAATTTTAAATTCCATCTGATTCTTTCACTTTCCAGTATACAAATCAAGAATCAATCAATGCATCCGGATAAAACACATACAAGGTGGCGCACGAGTCGTGCTACAGAAACGAAATATAATCATTTTTTTCTGTCTTTCAGGTTATTATGTAAATTTTTTTAAAACGAGTGCTGGGATACCGAAAAGAGGGTTTGGATAGTGCAGCGGTAGCATTCTTTGCAGTCCGTCATTTCCGTTCGAAGGGAATTCAGACGGGATTTTGGCGGCACTCCCCCTACTAGATGAACCATTATGAGGTTGGTAAACATGTTTGCAGAATATGGAAGTAACACAAGAAGACTGTACCATTGATTTTCGTATGTTCGTGTTCAAGAAACAATTGCGGCTGTTGCATCGTCAATTCAGGTCAAGACTTTCGACTCGCAACTTATCGGCGTAACTTGGAGTTAGCAGACGGTTAGTACAACGGATAATACATGATTACTTAAACCTGTTTTCGTACAAAGTTTAAATAACAAGCCGGTTAAACTCTATAGATTTGCCTATTCGCCTGAAGTTTTGCCAAAAAATGATTGTAATGGCCGAAGAAGACAATAACTTGATAAATTGCCTGTTTATGTCTGATGAGGACTTTGATCTAAACGGAAATGTAAAGCACCAAAATTGCAGTATATGGAGTGAATCAAATCCAGAAATAATCCACGAGACGGAATTTCGCCCAGAACGAGTCACTGTGTGGTGCGCAGTATTATCAAGGTGTATTGTCGGGCCATACTTTTTTAAAGAAAACGTTCATTTACGGTCCATAATTTTTAAAAATAATTAATTATACAAAATAAAATATATATACATACACACACATATATACATAGCAATAAAATAAAAATAAATGTAATGCATTGATTAAAAAAAGTTATTACGGTTTATTTTTGTAGCACGATTTGAGTTTTACCCTGTACAATGACTTTCGTTATTCTGACAAACGTTAAGCACCTGAAGATATTTCCCCGGCTTTGAGTTGCAAGAGTATGAAATGTTCGGTTACACCTGAACTTAGCCTTTCCTTACTTCCTAAACTTAGTGTAATCGGCTCCCAAAACTTGAAACACATTTTTTCTCCAAACTTCGGTGAAGAAAATTTCTCCGAAACGAATTCATTGATCGACTTGAAAATCTTTTTAGATATATTTGTCAGGTGATGATCGAAGAAATCAAATTTTTGATAACAGTGTCAATTTTGTAAACCACTCTAAAATGTAAATTTTTTTTGGTAGAAACGACTTTTTTTAGAAAGTCGTCGTTATAAAATCTAAAATTTGACTAGTCGTTCGATTATTACATGCATCTATAGTAATATTAAGTTTTTTTTGGTTTTGGATTTGAGCTAATTTTATGTAGGAAAATTTCCTCTCAGCCAGCTGGGTTTTCGGGGTCTTCCTGGAGATCGGCTACAGGATCAAGGGAATCCAATTTTTTTCAAAATTAATCGCCGATTAGTAAAGTACATAAATTCGTTTTTTTTAATTATTGTCTAAATAAAATGTCTTTAAAAAAAACCCGTTATTTCGACCAAGTGCCGTCCGCACACTTTTATGTTACTTCTCGTGCATTTTTTAAGAAATTTAGTTTAATAATTGCAAAATGTAAATAACGTGGTATTGTTATATATGGTATATGTATGTTTGTATGTATTTACATATGTATGTATATATAATGTACATACATATATTTCTGAGTCACCTTGTACCTATAGGAAATGAAAAGAGCGCTGAAAATATTTCCCAATATTTAGGCGGAAGTTCCGCTTATGGCCTAAAATGCAATGTGAAGAGTGAAATAAAATAAATTAAAGAGAACAGGCATGAGTACGTTTAAATGTTAGATGGATGTGGAATCATTTAATAGTTAGCGTTTTCTAATCCGCTCGCGTGTTGCCAATCGTACATATACATTGACATATATGCAAAAATATATGCGTTGTTATATATAAAAAATAGCTTCATTGCCAATTAAGTGCATTCAAATTAAATATTTACATCTTGATTATGAATTTTATCTTATTTATTATATCGTATCAACAGCCCGTTATTATCGCCTCTTTATTCAGCTAAATGAACTCTTTACTCCTTATAGACATATATTCATTCATGCAATTGGAAATGAGAGTGTAGCCTACGAAACTCTCAAACAAGATAAGCCGAATATGGCCTTCGTAAATTCAGCATTTAAAGTCTTTTTCTCTTCGTATATACTCTGCTGCTGCCTTTGTAGAAGCTATTTCGCAACTTAGAACAACATCCTGCTGGAAGCTCTCGCTCGCGTTCTCTCTGACTTCTCTCACAACGATTTGCTAAATATACATACGTGCATACGTACAATAATTCGCTAGCTCTGCGTGATTTCAGCTTCGTGCGAATGCCTATGCATATTCTAACGTTGCGAATTACGTACGTACACGAAATACCAGAGTAGTGTAGGTTATTTTGTGCTGTTGGCAATAGGGGTGAAGTGATGCTGCTTCTTTGGCCAGTTCGTGTGTGCTCGCTGCTTGCGCTGGCTGGGCATGCAAATTGCAGTTAGTTGTGCTGATAACGCGTAACGAATTACATCTTGACGTTAGCAGAGTTATATTATGTGAAGTGTGAAATATTTCTCGACAAAAATCGGGATTATATTATAAACATTAACAAAAAGTGAAAATATACATTTCAATTGCGTACTAAATATTGTTACTGTTAAAGATTATGAATATATGAAGTTGTACAGAGTGATAATTGTGCCGTCGGTGACTTCATTTCGTTTTCGGCTTGCAAATTGTGTTAGTGTTTTTTCTTTCCGTTTATTTTTGTGCAGTTCGGTGCATCGCCCGTGGTATGGTTGCTCGCCGCTACATTTGTAATTGGAATCTCACTGTGAATATTGATGATTACATAGACCGCGTGCATACATGAACTTTTACAAGCTGCCTCAGACCGACATCATAAACTCTATGACACTTCGCGGCGAATATAATTAATAGATTTTATGTGCATACAAGTATATGTGTACATATTATATAAATATAATTGACTATTGTGTGTACGTAAAACAGTTCTAATTATGAGTTGATTGTATTTGACGTGCATAACAAGATCTTGCGATTACTCTGCATCACTATATTATAATTTTTTGCATGGTATTTTAATTTTTTTGCTGGATCGTTCGGAAATAATTGCGGTATTTACATTTTGCTATATGCATAAATACACAAACACATGGGTATGCATAGTATAATAATGTTGAAAGAGGAGCTGATTTCTGCTGAGGTACATTTTCCACAGAGACATTTGGATTAAATGAAGAGAGTGGACAAAATATTATGTTAAAAGGTGAGTTAGCAAAAAACCACAACAAATAGACCATTATTTTTTATAAGAATTCTATTGAGTGCTGATTAGTAATATTTCAGATTTTCAATTGTTTTGTCAGCTTTATATATTGTAAATGTTTGTATGTACATATGTATGTATTGTATGCCCTTAGACACCAGAGAGCGTATGTATAGGTTCATTATTTTTAAAGCAGTAGCAATGCAATAAGGAATGAATAGTAGAAATACATAAGTATGTATAATTATTCCTTGTTCAAATCTACAATATAAGGGCCATAATTGTTAAAAAAAATTGATAATTAGAGAAAATTAGTGACAATCTTTTATGTAAGTAAATGATAAACATCTTGTGATAGAAAAATTGCATTTTATAACTAATTTTAAAGTAACATAATCCCATATTAATTTATTGCGTTTGTTGAATTTTTTTATCAAGAGAGTTTTTATCATTGTTTTTCATGCCCGCCGTTACATAAAATTTTAACTAATTTCTACGTTATGTAGTACTATAAGAATAAAAAGAGTCAAAACTTATGAAAAAAGTAAGTTAGTAAAGAGCTATCAGATCTTTACATATCCTTTATTTCATGAATAGATGATATATGGGATAAGGGAAAATATTATATTATATTATATAAACCGTTTTTACCCGTTTTGGTATTACATAAATAACATTATACATAGTACTATATAGATTGCAATTTTAAGTTGTGTTTGAACGACATATCATTCTTTTCTTTTTTTTAACAAACTTGCATTTTGTGGGTTAACTGGCACGTCACTACGCACAAATCGTCGATGAGATAAATTTTTCCTTACCGAGTACTTTTAACAGTAAAATTGCTGTATTTGAATGAGGATAACTCTGCAAAGCACCAAGCTCCTCTGCATCCACAGATTTGTTTTCACTTTCTCAAAACTACAGACTTAGCTCCGCTTACAGTAAGCAGTGATCGCTACTTGCAAATGGCTCCCTCTCTGTTCCCCATGTAAAAAACGGTCATATAATTAAATTAAAGAAAAGGCTTGGCTAATGGACTCCGTTAGACTTTTTGTGGGGATACAATAAACTTTCTACGACTGATTAATTATCCATAGCTAAATGTATTAACATTTTTGTTTTTTTCACTTAAATAAAACATTTAAAGCTCTAAAAAATGTTGCTTACTTGTAAGACATTCTCTGATGGTGACATGATCCCTTGCCTAATGCATACAATTAACGCATCCAGTTTGCTTGAGATATTTCGATTTGTAAAAGAGTTATAGGGATAGACAGGCAAACGGGTTCGGTAATCTTTGGCCCCATACAATCTAATAATAATATACATATGTACAAATGTATATGTTATGTGGAAATCAATAACTGATTCATAAACTGTAGGCATAATATGCCATGAATACTAAATAAGCTCAAATTTTCTCAGTTTACTTTTTCTCACTGGTTGATGAAATATGATAGCATTTTCACATTTTACCACTAATAAATTCTGATTCTTCGAAAGCTTATCGCATAATCCTGCGTACTTTGCTTTTTTATCAACTAATAGTGTTAAGAGTAAATAAATTTTACCTTTTTCTGCTTTCTGTTTTTGCGCCGGGCTGTGTGCTTATGAGCACTGTAGCTAATTTATGAAGTCCTCTGCCGGTGGATATGCTCGTTTAGTGCAAACTGCCAGCACAAATGTCAGCAAATAAATCACAATTTTAAAGCAAAACAACAATCTCAGCCAAAACATTGAATATCTGGCAGCTGAGCAGCCGAAAGCAAAAGCTAAAACACAAACAATTACAAAAACAATGCAACAATAGTAGCAAAAAGCAACCCACAACTTATCGCAAGGGAATGCCCACTACGGAAAGAAGGTCACAACTGCGGTGTTGGCGACAACGGTAGATTTTTACTCCTTTTTGGGTCATAAAAATAGAAAACAAACAAACAAAATAACGCAAATTGGTGAAGGATAACATTTAAAATGACTGTGGGAAAAGAGCAACTATGGAAAGTCGTGAATGTGGGCAGGGAAACGAAATTAACATAAATAAGAGGAATACTATGTTTAGTTAGAAGGTTAGGAGTGCCGTCTGCAAACATTAAAAATATCGTTTTAACCAATACGTTAATGTACCAATAGAGCCGGAAGGAAAAATACAAACAAATATGTTTCCTGTTGGCGTAGAGTTGAGCAGCTCATTAGAAGCTGCCAACGGACGCCTATTTACGCTGGCACATTTGACCAACATCATTTGTTACGATTTTTACAGTATATGCTTTTTACTATTGTTCCTTGATGTGGATGAGCGTTGTAATCACTTTGAATAGATATAAAATTATATACAGTGATTTTTATAATCAGGAATGTTTACGAAAATTAACAAAAGATTTAAGCTATTATTGGTTGGAAATAAATATATAGGAAAATATTTTGAAAATTTTTGTAAACCGAAAAGCAAAAGCATAAATGCTTCGTATGAATGAAATACTGATTACTTCCAATTTAAAGCCACGAACTTACTAAAAATCTTCTTCAAAACATTTTTAACCCTGATATTTTTACCATTATTAATACACTGTGCGTCATCATCTAATCCTATTTTCATTATATTTTTCATATACCCGCGTCTGAACACAACAACACAACAAGGGATAATCTTCTTGAACGACAAACAGGAAAAAACCATCGTAAAGTTGCATTTTTTATTTAAACATTAGAGTGGGGATTAGCGTGAATGGCTATCAGAGAACTAGAGCTAATATAAATAAGTAAATAATAACTGCAATAGAAAGCGGAGTTTAAAAGAACTAACTATACCAAACATTCTATTAAAAACAGTAACACACGTATCAATTTATCACATTGCCTGAGAGGGAACAATTTTTTATTAAAGTCTAAAGTAATCCTTTTGGGTTTGCCAGCTTAAGTCAGCAAATGTGTGAGTTGGTGCTCCAGTTGATTGCGGCTGTTTTTTATACTCTCGCAACCTGTTGCTACAGAGTATAATAGTTTTGTTCACCTAACGGTTGTTTGTATCACCTAAAACTAATCGAGTTAGATATAAGGTTATATATATATAAATGATCAGGATGAAGAGACGAGTTGAAATCCGGGTGACTGTCTGTCCGTCCGTCCGTCTGTCCGTGCAAGCTCTAACTTGAGTAAAACTTGAGATATCTTTATGAAACTTGGTAGACATGTTTCTTGGTACCGTGAGACGGTTGGTATTGCAGATATGCGTAATCGGACCACTGCCACGCCCACAAAAAGCCATTAATCAAAAACAAATAAATTGCCATAACTAAGCTCCGCAATAAGATACAAGACTGTTATTTGGTACACAGGATCACATTAGCGAGGGGCATCTGCAGTTAAAATTTGTTTTAAAAGTAGGTGTGGTCCCGCCCCTAATAAGTTTATTGTGCATATCTCCTAAACCCCCCCACTCCCCATATAACGGTACTGTTAAAAAATAAAGCGCGATAACCCAAGCCCTAAACACGCCAGAGACATTAAATTTTATCTCTGGGATGGTATGAGATGACTTTATAGGAACCGTGTTCAAAATTAGTCAGTGGGCGTGGCGCTGCCCACTTTTAGGTGAAAACCCATATCTTGGGAACTGCTTAACCGATTTCAACCAAATTTGGTACATAAGATTCTTTTTATATTACTATGGGCGAAATCGGATTACAACCACGCCTATTTTCTATATGACATCATTTTAAATTCCACTTGATTCTTTCACTTTCCACTATGCAAATCAAGCAACAATGATTGTATCGGGGTAAAACTTTGCGTGAATAATGCGTTTAAAGTATGCCACCTTGTGACCAAAATTGTCTAAATCGAACCAAAACTGTTCAAGCCCCTAAGTACTAAACATGTGGACCCCAGTGCCTATAGTTGACCTTCTACCGAAAATATCAGTCAATCCACAGAGAAATCTCAAAGGAGTATACTATTTGATTTTGCGAGAGTATAAAATGTTCGGTTACATCCGAACTTAGCCCTTCCTTACTTGTTTTCAACTAAATTCTGTTACTGAAATGTTGACGCTTAGACGGACTTTGTGGTTTTGAGGTGCTAAATCAGTGCTGTTCATAGCCAGAAATGCTTTTCAGTAAAGATCGTTGCCTTGAAATTTAGCTCATTTAATTGAGCTTAACTTAGCTACGGTTTTTTAAGCACATTAAAATCACTTACATGCACACACATTTATCTCTATTGCTCCCTTCTCATTCATTTTATTTTGAGCTACTCTCTAAAGGGATTTGACTACATTGTATGCCATTTATTTCGTCTGCCATTGTGGGTTGTCTCTTATGTGCCCTTTGCCTCTAACCTCATTTTAAATAATCGTAGTTTACATTTTATCTGCTATTCCATGTAGGCTTGTATGCAAAATAGTATATCACTTTATAAATTTAATATGTATGTATGTATTCAAGCAGTATTCCCAAAAGAATCTACACACGTGCTAAAATTTTAGATATAACGTATCAACACTATTCCCTACTTTTTGGGTGTAAAGTGGATCCCTTTTTATAATTTTTTCATGCTCAATTTAATAAACATTTATAGTGAAATTAAGCTATTTAGCATATGCTCCTCTTTTAGACCTCTGACGCTGATAGAAAGGTTAGAGTTAAGTGTAGCTGGGTCAATTTACGGGTAAATAAATTAAGTTAATTTCAAAATTTTCATTCACACCTTAACTGTTGAGATGTGTGCTTGATAAAATCAGGTTAAATATTTTTGATAGAATATATACTAAGTGATTCCCAATTAACATAAAATAAAATATGTCAATTTACTATTTATTTTTAAACAAATTAATTGAAGGGCTATATCCACTTGCAAATTTCACAAAATCGATTGTTTTTGCATGAAAATGTGAAATTGTTCCGGCAAAAAGTTTCGGAGACATGAGCGTATGTGTAAGATATTTTTTACTTAGTGTAATCCGTTCGCAAAACTTTAAATGCGTTTTTCTCGAAACG